CCTAGGGTCACACAGCTAGTAAGTGTGTCAAGTGTTTGGTCTGAGGCTGAATTTGAACTCAGGTACTCCTGACTTCAGGGCCGGTGCTCTATCCACTGCGCCACCTAGCTGCCCCTAGACTACACATATTTAGAGGAGTTGTTTTGGTCTAGGATGTCACAAGGATGATGAGTGGAACCCTAAGGTAGTTGGTTTTTTTTCCCCCCAAACATACCCTTTTTACATGCAATAGTGGTATTGATTTGATTACTGTTTTCAGAAAGGGAGGAGGGAGTGTTGGGGTATGACTGTGTTGACACGGCAAGAAGATAGTCTGGGTGAAGCATGGTTTGGGACCTGGGGCTGGCTAGTTATGATTAACTCTCATGAAATAAAACAATCATGGCCCCAAGTTGGAAGTCACAGCAGTGATGGTAGTGACTTAGCACCATAACCAGAGGGAACCGTAATGACATTGCTGTCCAGTATGCCTGTAGAGGGTTAGACAGTTTGCCCAGATCAGTGCCAAAAGATGGGGGTTGTGATGAAGTTTGAGGTGTGGTACCTTATTTCAGGGTAGCTAGGTGGTGCAGTGGATGAAGTGCTGGGCTTGGAGTCAGGAAGACTCATCATCTGGCCTCAAATACTTACTAGCTGGGCAAGTCACTTAACTCTGTTTGCCTCAGTTTCCTCATCTGTAAAATGAGCTGGAGAAGGAAATGGCAAACTGCTTCAGTATCTTTGCCAAGAAAGCCCCAAATGGGGTCATGAAGAGTAGAACATGACTTGAACAACAACAAAACCTTACTTGACCTAATGATTCTCCTGCCTTCTAACAGAATGTGACCCAGGACTTCAATGGAATAAATGATCCCCCTACCTTTAATCTGTTACAGGTCCTATTTTATAATTATTTCTTTTATTCCTTTGAGTTGGAGAGGGAAATGGCAAACCACTTCAATATCTTTGCCAAGAAAGTCCCAAATGGGGTCACAAATTGTCAGACACTACCAATAACAAGGATGTGGATGAAGCCCACTCTTCTAGCTCCTCTCTGTAGCCCCAGTAACTAACTGCATGCTCCAGGTGGGGTGAATTAGTGTCATTATCTCTGATCTCGCACAACAGATCCCTGGAAGCACTTGGATCTTCTGGACAAGGTGTTCTATTCTCAAGGGGTAGAAGGTGGTAGTGTCAGAGAGGACTGGAGCCAGCTGGGTACCATGCCAATAAAACTTCCCTCAAGGGAAAGTTCCCTGTGGGCCTGGTAAATTTCACCTAGGTAATTAACAGGGGCAGGGGCAGGTGGAAATAGTGCTCACAGCTCTGTTCAAGATCATGCTTGAGCTGCAGATCCCCTAGGCCATGAAGACAGGCCAGTCTGTGGGTCTGTGATCTCTTTCACTTATGGAAACCTTTCCCCAGCACCAGGCATGATGGTACCTCTTCTCTAGAGTGCCATCAGATAGGGGGAGACCACCTAGTCTTGGACCAGGTTACTGTTGTCTGGGAGAGGAGAAGGAAAGAAATATGACTCTGTTTTTCATCCTGAGGCTCCTGGCTAGGAGATCCAGGAATATGCTGGTAAATGTTTAACAACTGATGGGTGGGGGGAGGGGGGATGTACACTCAACATACTTTTAAGTTTAATATGAATTATTAACATTTTCCTTCATCAATTAGGGCAGTTAGATGGCGCAATGGATAGAGCACTGGGCCTGGAGTCAGGAAAACTCATGTTCCTGAATTAAGATCTGGCTTTAGACACTTGCTAACTGTGTGACCCTGGGCAAGTCACTTAACCCTGTTTGCCTCAGTTTCCTCATCTGTAAAATGAGCTGGAGAAGGAAATGGCAAACCCCTCCAGTATCTCTGCCAAGAAAACCCTAAATGGGGTCACAGTGAGTCAGGCAAGACTGAAACAACTCAACAACGACAACAACTGAGCAACAATAACTATCACTTAAGTCTAGTCAATTTAAAAAAACAAAAACGAATGACAAATCCAGCAGATATGTAGCATTTATTTATTTATTTTTAGTTAATTTATATCAACAATCACTTCCATATGCTTTTGAGTTTTTAATTTTTCTCCCCCTTCCTCCCCAAGATGGTACACAGTCTGATAGAGGCTCTACATATACATTCCTATTAAACATATTTTCACATTAGTCATGTTGTAAAGAAGAATTTGAACCGATAGGAGGAACCACCAAAAAGAGGAAACAAAACAAAACAGAAGAAAAAAATAGCAAATAGTACGCCTCGATCTACATTCAAACTCCGCAGTTCTTTCTTTGGATATGGATAGCATGATTTGTAGCATTCGCCAGCTTCAAAGGTGTAAAAGCTCATGCTGGAAAATTTAACAAAGAGGTGTCCTGCAGGAACTGGCTGTAGCACACACCTGGAGAGAACTTAGGGAAGTGGGGAGGGGAAATTGACAGGCAATGAGTTCCTTTTCCCAGTTTCCCCCACCCTGTTCTAGCTCTGTCTCTCTATCTTCTGGTCCAGGTGACATTCCCAGTGATAAGGATGAAAAGGATCTGAGAACTTCACTTTTGGTTGGGAAGTTGACCAGTACTCCCAGGTGGATGACCATTTAGGTTGAACCCCCACCCAACCCTAACTGTGCGACAGCTCCTCCAGCTTCTTCAGGCTTTCATAAGCAAGGAAGCCATAAAAATGGAAAGAACCAGCATCCCAGCACGTGGAAAGAGCCCTGAATTTGGAATAGGAGGGCCTCAGTTCCAATCTCGTCTTTGCCACTTAAGACTTAAAACTTTAAGTCCAACCCTCTTTGCTTCAGTTTCCTCATCTATAAAATGGGTAGGGGGGAATTGAACTAGGTCATCCCTAAAGTCACTTCCAACTCTAACTCTAGGATCTTAAGAGAGACAGCATGGTATAGTGGATAGGGCTCTGAACCCGTAGTCAGGAAGGTTTAGGTTCAAATAAGTGACAGGCACTATGTGACCCTAGGTAAAGTCATTTTATTTGTCTGTGCCTTAATTTCCTCATTTCTAAAATGAAGAGATTGTATTCAATGGTGTCTAATGTCCCTCCCAGCCATGAATCTTCCTATCATCCTGAACTTTCCAGATCTCCAATTCTGTGTATGTGACTCTGTGTGTGTGTGTGAGAGACTTTTCTTTTTGAAATAGGGACAGGGGAACACAGGCAAGAAGGGATAGTCCCCATCCCAGAAGCAAAAGAGAGGGTCAGTGATTACTAGGTATCTCTTACCATCTGCCTGGTGTAGGGCCAGGGAATCATCAGCTTTTCTGTTTCTTTCCCCCAGAGGAGGTTTTGGCAGGACAACTGGGCCCCTCACTGCGTCACAAGGACGGAATGGCTCCTTCCCCTTCCCCAGCTTGGAAAGCCCCTGAGCCTTGCGGCCCCCTGAAGAATAGCCAACATGCCTGAGTCATTACTACCACCTTCCTAGTCTGAACTTTTGCCAGCTCTTCTCTACCCCTCTAGGATCTGAGGTTTCCTATGCTGATAGTTACTGATGGTCCTATGTGACCCTAGGGTAAAGTGGGGTGGGAGAGAGAGCTAGACAGAGAAAGAAAGAGAGACAGAGACAGAGAGAAAGAAAGAGAGACAGAGACAGAGAGAAACGGAGACAGAGACAGAGGAGAGAGTGAGCACATTTTTATTAAAAGGGGAATGCATTTTGTACTAAATATTGCAGATGCAAATACAAGCAAACTAGACAATTCCTGCCCTCAAGAACCTTAGATACTAATGAGGGAAGGCCACACTTAAAGGAGAGCTAGAAAAGGGAGGAGGGAAGGTGACACCCAAGGCCATATGCTTTGTAGATGGCCAAGAAGCATCTTATGGGATCAGAGAATTGCAGATTCAGAGCTGAAAAGGCCCTTAGACATTTTGAGGAACTGGGTCAGCAATCATCTAGTCCCAGTCATTTTACAGATGAAGGAACCCAGACCCAGAAAAAGTAGTGACTTGTTCAAAGTCACATAGGTCATCTAAGAAAAGCCATGGTCCCTGACTGCAGATCTAATACTCACTTCTGGGACCTGTAAGGTTGGTGCCTTTTTCTCATCCTGCATTGGGCCCTCACATTCCAGGACCTCTCCACCATCATAGTATTCTAAACACCTTAATCAGGTTTACCCTATGGGGCATTACCCAGATGCTACCCTATCAGTCTCATGTGATACTTTTTGCTTTCCCTTGATTCTGGAGCATACTGGAGTCATTCAGGGATGGGAGGACTCCTCTAGAATTTGCATGGGCATGGCTTAGGTATGGTCATTTGCAGCTGGGTGTCTCTGTAGACACAGAGCTGGGAATCACAACTGAGGAGACAAGGGACAGTTCTTCCTCTTCCAGTTCGCTGATGCAGGGTGCTAGAGACCCTGCAGTTTGGCATTGGGTAGGCATTTGAGTCACATCTACCATGATGCACAGAGACATTGGATTCTGAGGACAAAGATAGCCATATCTTCTGCCTAATCCTTTGCTTAATATATGTACTGTAGAAGGGGGTGGGATAGGACTAGGAAACCCTTGCTCAGAAGGCATTGTGGTATAGAAGAAAGTGCACCTGGATTTGGAGTCAGAGGACCCGGGTTCAAATCCCACCTCGCATCAAAGTCACTTTGTGACCTTGGTTAAGCAAATGACAACCTCTCTGAGCTACAGTTCCCTCATCTGTAAAACGTGGGTGGTTGGACCAGATGACCTATGAGATCATTTTCAATTGTAAATCTATGATCTTGTGATCCCAAGGAAGGCAGGGTCGCCCTACTTGGCTCTTCTGTCCTCTGTGAGGCACTTTCTGGGCAGGAGGCAGGGCCAGGGCTAAGAGAGAGGAAAAAGGTTGCTGACCTCTTAATAGAATAGGGGAGGGTATGTCTCTGGGAACCCACAGATGGGGGAGGAGGGGGAAGTGGGTGATGAAAAGCAGAAGGAAGAAGTAAGCAGGGGCTGAGCTTAACGGTAGGCTCTGGTGGGGTGGAGGGATACAACCCTCCCCCTCCCTAAGTGAGGTCCCAGGGAGAGGGGAAGGTGAGTACCAGGAAATCTCTGGGTGCTCCCTTTTCTGATTAGTGTTCTCTACCCAGTCCTTGCCACCTTGTGACTGTTGCCCTAGCCCAGAGGGCAAACAGGGAGCTCTGGGGCCAAGCCTTTACAGACCAGCTTTTACAGAAGCTTTGACAAGCTGAGTCAGCAAGCTGTGCTCTCATTGAGACTTCCTTGTGTGGCTCCACTCGGGAGTTTGCCGTACTCCAGGACACAGTCCCAAGTCCCCAAGTCGGCAGGGGCAGGTTGGGAGGGATGGAGGTGGTAGGAGGATCATTCTCAATTGGGCTGGCTGGAAGAGGGATGGCAGGAAGGTGGGGAGGCAATACCTCATTCCTTCTGCCCCCTCGTGCCCTAACTGCCCCTTCCCCAAAGTCTACACTCTGTAAGACCAGCTGGAGACTCTCCCCTGCCTACCCTGGCCTGGTTTGACTCCTGGGAAAGGAGGGTGAGAGATGAGGATGAGGTCAGGAAGGGAGGGATCCCAGGTGGGAAAAGCCAGAATCTCTTCAGGCAAAGGCCCCAGGTCTTCCTGGAGGAGAGACTAGGGGCTAGAGTCCAGGGGAAGGAGTTCAAAGTTCCTCATGGGGCCATCCTGCTCTCAGGAGGCACCTCCCCACCTCCTCTTCATTCCAAGTAACAGCCATGCAGGGTCCTGGGTAGAGCTGAGGCGTGGCTGGGGGGGAGTGTGTGGGTGTGGCCAGCAGGCAGATGGAAGTGACAGCCGTTAAAGGTGACTCTATTCTAGAATCTGGCAGGAAGGTGACCTCCACTCCACCACCAAGGACCAGGAGTGATAGACAGCAGGCACATCTTAGGCAGCAACGATTTGGTAGGGCTGTGATTCGAGACCACAGCGATTCTGGGACGGCTGTGATTGATTTCAGGATGGCTGTGATTTCAGGACGACTGTGAATGCACAATGAAAGTGAGTCTACTGGTCCATTCTGTTGGGCAAAGACCAGCTCAGTCAGATCCCAGATAGGGTTCTGGATCTGAGTAGTGATTGTGGGAGGGTGATGGGAAAGGGGAGACAAGAGACATAACTGGGATGTGGAAAGTAAATCGGAGATTTGGCTAGGTGTTAGAGCTGCCTATGAAAGGATGGTAGAGAAGAATTAGTGGGGGGTGGGGCCCGGTGTTGAGGTGGGGCAGATATCCATGGGAGAGGCTCCTGGGGTTAGGGAAGGTCATTGTCTCATCTTCTCCTGCTCCTATTCTGTCTTAATGTCTGTAACCAGAGTCCAGGTATCCTTTCCCCTTCTGGACCCAGGTGGGGGGACACTCATAGAGCTTCTCACCTTCCTTTCCTACCCCTAGTTTCTGGGAGCCTAAGCACAAAGACCAGAGTAACAACAACAATAATAACTCATATTTATATACAGCTTTATGTTTTCCAAAATACTATTCTCACAGTATCCCTGTGAAACTAGTAATATGAATATTATTCCCATTTTACAGATGAGGAGACTGAGACCATAGACTAGGACCCTGGTATTCTGATTCGGTCACATGCATTTTCTACTATCCTTCTGTCGCTTTAGCCCTAAAGTTCCCTATCCCTCCCTGACCCCCAGAATAACTTCCATGGGCCCACATAAGTTATGTGACCTTCTATTCTAGAGACAACAAGGAGTCAGATGGGTCCAAGACACTGCCCAGACTCGATGCCCTAGACAATGCCCACCTACAGACTGTTCTCCCATCAAGCCATGGCTGTGATGGCGCTGCTCATAGCTCTCTGGCTCCTGATATCTCATCTCCTGCCCTCGAGCAGGGTATGGGGCACTGGGACGTGGTCTCTGAGTGGGGCCTTCCAGCCAAGCTCTAAGCTCACGGTCCTCATCTGGCACTGGCCCTTTAACAAGTCTTTACCATTAGATGGCGATGTCTGTGCTCACTATGGTGTGGTCAACTGCTGGCTCAGCACCAACCATAGCCTCCTGAGCCAGGCTGACATCGTTGTCTTCCACCACCATGAACTCCAGAATGGGGCTGTCCGGCTGCCTTTGGCTCACAGGCCCCTCAGGCAGCCTTGGGTGTGGACTAACCTGGAGTCTCCAAGCAATACTCATGGGCTTTCCCGTTACCATAACATTTTCAATTGGGTCATGACCTACCGGAGGGACTCTGACATCTTTGTGCCTTATGGAGAGCTGGTGCCCCGGCATGGGCCTGCTCCCCCTGTGCCAACTAAGAACCGGATGGCTGCCTGGGTCATCAGTAACTACCAGCGGACCCAGAAGCGAGTGGTACTATACAACCAATTATCTAAACATCTTCAGGTGGATGTATTTGGCCGTGCCAACAAGAAACCACTCTGCCCAGACTGCCTCTTGCCCACTCTTGCCCCCTACCGATTCTACCTGGCATTTGAGAACTCTCAGCACCGGGACTACATCACTGAGAAGTTATGGAGAAATGCCCTGGGTGCAGGGGTCGTGCCTGTGGTACTAGGTCCTCCTCGGTCTACCTATGAGGCCTTTTTGCCAGCTGATTCCTTTGTCCATGTGGATGACTTCAGCTCAGCCCAGGAACTGGCCACCTTCTTGAAGAGCATGAATGCCAGTCGTTACCAACGCTTCTTTGTATGGCGTGAAAGGTTAGCTGTGAGGCTCTACAGTGACTGGAGGGAGCGGTTCTGTGGCATTTGTGTCCGCTACCCCCATCTGTCCCAGGACCAGATCTATAGAGACTTAGAGGCCTGGTTTAAATCATGATGACCAGAGCTGACCTGGCTAGCTGCTAAATTCTTCCCCAACCATAAAGGTTATGGTGAAATGTAGGGCTGCCATTTGGGACTAGAAGTCTGCCCCCAGAGACTTTCCCTGGATGGACCCTGGATCCCTGGGGTACCTCCTTGTGACACCATGAGGAGAGACAGGGCCTAATGTTTGGCCTCTTCCTCTTCTCTTCACCCTTTTTACTCCTATTCCTCTTCCCTCTGTTACTAAACCAGACTCCTGAAAAATAACACTAAACTTGGGAGTCAGAAAACTTGAATTTAAGTCCAGGCTGGACCACTGACTGGATATATGACCTTGGACAAGTCACTCCTGTCTGGGGCTCAATTTCCCATTCATGCAATGGAAAAGTTGAGATGATAATATCTCTCACAGCTCTAATATTGTAACATTGAGTCCTCCTGCACACACACACACACACACACACACACACACACACACACACACGCACAGGTGTATATGTGTGTGTGTGTGTGTGTGTGTATGTGTGTGGTGATGGGGCACTCTGTGGTGATTTTTATCAGCATTTCTGTAACTGAGTGGCATTGCTATAAAATGAGAACTTGAATCCTATGTGTTATGTTGTGCAAGGGGCTTTTAAGAGAAGATGGATTCTCAGTATGAGTGAAAACTAATTCATTGATGTCATACTCATACCTGCCATATAGTGGTAAAGGAAACACAATACACAAATAAAAACCTCAGAGCTTGAACTGAAGAAGCCTCAGAGATTTTTGTCTGCGAGTGCTTAGTCAACAGGGAGGGGAGGGCACGTGGAGGAAGAGGGTAAGGTGGAGGAGGGAGGGGGGTGAGGGGGTATGTGTGGCAAGCCGTGATTCTTGCCCTCAGGAAGAATGCCCTCTACTGAAAAACAGAACAGACCTATTGGGAAATTAGTAACCTAGAGTAAGAGCCTTTCATGTCTCCAAACCTCACTTTCACTGTCTGTAAAATTAAGGCTTAGAATAGATGGTCCCCAAGACTACCTGGTATGGGTAGATGACAGTCTAAAATCTTCTGAAGGTGTCAAAGGGGTTTGAAGCTGGGAAATGGGACCTTGTAGAAGTGTGTTGGTGGGGAGAGGGGGAGAGGGCAGTGCAGCTGTGAGGGTGGGGTGGCACAGTTGGGTAGAGCACAAGGCCTGGAGTCAGAAGTCCTGAGTTCAAATGTAACTTCAAATACTTCCTAGCTGTGTGACCCTGGGCAAGTCCCTTACCCTCTGTTTGCCTCAGTTTCCTCATCTGCAAAATGGGGATAATTTATAGCACCTACCTCCCCAGGCTTATTGTGAGGATCAAATGTGATAATTGTAATGCTTAACCACCTGGCACATAGTGTTGACTATACATAATAACTAATATAATTAATAGCTATATAATAATAATAATAATAATAATGATGATGATGATGATGGTAATCACTGGGCTTAAAACCAGAAGACCTAGATGGGAATCCAAGCTCGACTAGCTGTGTGACTTGGGGCAAGTCCCTCACCCTCTTTGGGCCTCAGTTTCTTCATGTTTAAAACAAATAGACAATTTCTAGGGTCCTTTCCAGCACTAATATTTTGTGATTCTATGAGAGTTCACAGGGAAGTGGGCAGATTGAGTTATGTTATGTGACTGGAATAGATTGGAGGGTGTGTGAGAGAGGGTTGGTTGAAGAGAATGGAGAGGGGGAAAGGGGATTGATGGGCTGCTGGGCCTTCCACTACTGCCTGCCCCCCTTCCCACCACCAGCCCCCTTTCCTGGGTAGTAATTATAATAGGAACCAAGAAGAGGAACTGGGTCTGAAAACCAGCCCTGGCCACCGAGAAATAGTACTAGGCAGAATCGGTAGGTGTGGAGTTAAAGCAGAGGGCCCAGACACTGGCATGATTACAAAATCTCTCTGGATGGTATGGGTCACCAGGTCCCTGAGGGGGTACTTGAACGCTCTGGGAGATCTCTAGTGGTTGGGTAGGGAGGGAAAGGAGCCAAATGGAGATCCTACAAGGTTTTCCTCAACAGCCTGAAAACATTCTGAGGCTTCTTTGACCAATGCCCAGCTTCCCCTCCTGAACCAGCTCAATGGACCTAGAAGTCTGAGGGATGGAACCATAGCTATACTGGGAGTGTAGAGATGGTGGTGGGAGCAGTAGAAACCACTCAAGTGGGCTGGCCATGGCCCTTGGGGGTGGCCATAGGGACAACGGATTGAAGTGAGGACAAAATGTATGTCTGGCATTTGGTATGGCAGGCATGATAGCCATCCTGTCTGTGCCTTCCCCTGAAATGAAAAATGGAGGCTCAAGTCTACCCCATCCGGTAAAGGGCATGGATAGGCAGAGGCCACAGCAGGAAGTGGAAAACAACTGTGGCGGGGCCCCTCACCCCAAGAGGGGCAGTGTGGTTCTTTGCACCTGTCATGGGGCAGGAGGCAGACTATTAATTTCTGCACATAGAAACATATATGCGGACACACACACACACACACACACACACACACACACACACTAGCAGGTTTCTTAGAAGTCTGTCTTGGGAGTGGAGTGGAGTGTGGAGGTCTCTACTTTGTGCATGTACCCAGGTCCCTCTACTTCATGACAGAGAAAAGGGTGGCTTAGGAAAGACTGATGCTAAGGCCTGGACCCTGCGGAAGCAGGAAGGGATTCTGTTTGTTTGAGGATGGCAACAGCTGATTCTTTTTACCCTCTCCCCCCTCTCCAGGAAGATGCCTCTGCTGAAATGACACTCATGGCCCTAGGAGCTCCTTGTTGCCCTCAAGGTGACAGATGGGGAAACTAAAGCTAGAGAATCTTGGGGACATGGGCATATCTAGGCTGGGGTCCAATGAATAGTAGGAAGAAATCTGCAGACTTGAAGGAATGGAGCCTTTTGGGAAGGCAAAGCAGGGCCTCCTAGACTCCTAAGAAGGAGGCTGCCTCGAAAGAGATCCTACTCTCTCAGACAGCACCGGATCATACCGAAGTCCCACAGAATGGAGTCAAATGAGACTGAACCCAGGGTACCGGAGACAACCCAGGAAGTGTGCTTCTTTGCCCTTACCTCTTAACATCTTGCCTTGTGCTCAGCTTCAGGTTAGCTCTAGAGTGAGCTGGCCCTGCACTCTGGTGGCTAGCATGGGAATTACCCAAAGTTTTAATACAGCCTCCACCTTTTCCCGTCCTCACCCTGGGGCCATCCTTGGCCCCCCAGACTTGGTTCCAGAGTTTGGTATGTACCTGCTGGCAGGGGTGGGGTGGAGCTGGGGGTGGGGGGAAAGGCCCTGAAGAAGATAGGATGGACAGGAACCTGCCATCCTTCATCCTTCCACCTAGAACTCTAGGAAGCCTGCTTTTTTCTTTGGGTACCAGGAGTTACCAAGAACGGAGAAGGAAAAGAATATTGTCTCCTCTCCTCATTTTGGGTTGCCCCAAACAATCCAGCCTTTCCTGGAAGTATGGGGGAACATGGGGGAGAATCTGTTCCCCACTTTTTGCTGTGGTGTTATCAGCTGGCTTGGGGGGTGAGGAATGATGGGGAGAGGACAAGGTTCCTGGCAGAGGGAGTCCCAAAGGGTAGCAGTAGGGTACCCAATCCCAAACGTTATAACCACTTCCCTCCCCCCCCCAAGATAGCAGATAGAGCACTGGACCTGGAGTCAGAAAGGCCTGAGTTCAAATGCCACCTCTTTTCCTTTCCCCTCCCTCCTTACATATAAGACTGCAAACTCTACCCCAGAATGCAGGAATTCAGGTAACTAAATCCCACCCTCAGTGGGATGGGGTTGGGGAGGAAGGATTGCAATCATCGAGCTACTAGTGGAGTGTGAGTGGAGCAGAGTCCTTGTAGAAGTACCTCTGTGTTGTGGCAGATGCCTAATGTGCACACTTCTGTTCATGCCTGGGACGGAGCTCATGGACGAGATCAATCATCATAGTTACAAAGGGGAGATGTCAATCTAGCCCTGTAGACAAAGAAGGGGCATTTCCTGGGTGATTTTAGCTTTGGATATTGTTCTCATAAGTAACCCCCAAATTCTAGAGTTTGAAGTTATATAGAGAGAAAGGGAGGAACTAAGTAATCTGTCTCTTGAAGAAGATGATGGCCCATGTCTGTGTCCCCTCCCCCCCCACCTCCCCAGATAAAGGAGATGTAAGGGACTAAAGCCAGAACACAAAGAAGTGGTAGAACTGTACTCATTCCCTGCTGCTATTATTATAAATCATCCAGACAGTGCCAGGCTGATGGGAAAGGTATTGCCTATCCAAAAGCCCTTAAGTGATTTTGCCTTCCAGGAGAAGTTTAAATCCCAGGATGGCACTATGACTCTAAGAGGAAAAGGGAAGGATCCTGTGGGATAGCTAGGGGCTCATTAGAATTTCAGGATGTTATCTCATCACAGTACTAATTCAGTTCCCTCAAGAAAAGAGAGTCTAAATCACAGAGTGGCACTGTGTTGGACTCTAGGATTCTAATGAAAAAGTGGGACCCATCAGAGAACTGTGTTCTACTGTGTGTGTGTGTGTGTGTGTGTGTGTGTGTGTGTGTGTGTGTGTGTGTGTGTGTGTGTTTTGAAGTGGATGGAGTGATGGGCCTGGAGACCCAAGTTCTAATTCAACCTCAGACACTTACTAGCTATGTGAACGTGGGTAAGTCATTTAACCTCTGTTTGCCTCCGTTTCCTCAACTCTAAAATGGAGATAATAGCAGTACCTAACTCCCTGAGGATTAAGTGCTTAACACAGACGCTGGAGCATAGCAGGTACTTAATAAATGTTTGTTTCTTTTCCCCCTATCTGTACTTGATATGCATTTATTATCTTAAGTAAGGGAGTGGTTACACTTTCTGGGTTATTGTTGTTTGTCCTTCCTTTTTATTTTCTAAGAGGACCATTGACATGATGAGGCAGAGTCTCATGAAGTTGTCAACCTCATTCTCTCTTCCTGAGTCATTGAAGTCCAGTGGCAAGATGTCTGGAAGACCTGTGATGGCCCAGGATGGAGTGACCGACCTTGGTGTCTGATGTCTGACCAATCTCTAAGCACTCCACAATGCCTGCTTCAGCTGCCTTTGTGGCCCTTGGAACAAATTATTCTCATCTACCCATTCCACTGGGGGATATCTTCACACGCTTGGGGTAGACACCCCCTTAACTCCTCAATGGGTTTGTGGTATATCGGTTATCCTCAACTTGGTTTAACCTGTCTGATGAGACAGAGGGTTTACTAAGGTGTGGCCACTGCACATGCTACAGCTTCTTGGAGTCACAGGTGAGAGCTGAGTGCCAAGTAGACACCAAGGGTCGATGAGCAGCCCTGAGAAGGGCTCTGCAGACCCTCACACCAGAGGTGCTACTCCTCCATGAAAATCCACACACCTTTTCTAGGTAACACATTGGTGGAAGCCTAAAAACAGCTTATGTGGGAGCTATATTTAGAGATTTCCCCAGAGTAAATTCTGCGGGGAAGCAATGAGCCAAAAGAGATATTGATCTTTTAGGGCTCCCCTTAAGATCTAACCTGATCTATATGAGTGCACAGCTTAGGGGGTCCAGGGCCATAGATCTATCTCCAGGTCCTTCTTCCTTTTGCTTTCTATGGAATTGATAATACATAATAATAGTTGACATTTATATAAATGTTTAAGATTTCCCTTTTCAAAGATGTGTATAAATTTGACATCATTAATAAATCCAAACATTTCAATGAGCCTAGTGTTCTAGAATAT